CTATCAAATGTAAGACAATAGCAGCGTTGAAATGCTATGAATGAAAACTAACTAATAGCGTTTTTCAACAGCTATGAAAGATATTTGTCGTAGCAATATAGAAATGCTATTGAATACTCTTTTATAGCTACATAAAAACGCTATGGTTTTTTTTTGGTAAATGAAAAATTTTATTCATTTGACCATTTGGAGAATTTTGTGTACATCATCAGAACTCAAAAAAATGAGTATCCGTCTATTCCCTGCAAACTATTTACAGTTATAGGGAAATTATCCATTTCTCATCTTCTGAATGTATATCACTATTTAGAATTATTGTTAGCATGTCCACCTTGATGATTCTGGTGAGTTGCTCTATCCCCTTGCATTTTTGCTTGAAGATTCTTGTATTGCGTTCTAAAAAAAAAAAAAAAACCTACTATGGTTGGAAACTTTTTGATAGCGTTTGGGGAAACGCTATGTAAAGCAACAGACCTACTATAGCGGGTTCTGACACAGCGTTGATTAAAACGCTATGAAATAATACTATAGCGTTTTTCAACCGTTATGGTAGATTTCAGGTGTTGTAGTGTTTCTATTTAATTTCATGTTCAGTTTGCAATATATCCAAGTGGCGAAGGACAATATGGAACTGAAGCCGGACTTGTCGTCTACGCATTACCAAAAGTTCAACGTGACCAGTTGACTACAGTATCTGTTAGTGTTGTTGGTGGCTTGGATGGTCCGACTGAAGATTTCAATTCAATAGTAGCAGGATGGCATGTGAGTAATTAATAATTATGAAATCGTACTGTAGCACGTACTAGACATGATGATTACGTATTCACGTTTTGTTTGCTAGGTATATCCGTTGCTTTACAATGATACAGATACTCATTTTTTCACTTATTGGACGGTAAGTTTTATCTTAATGCATGATGATATATAGTAATGCATGTTTAGTACATGTTAATTATCAAACTTACCATACTTGATGCGTTGTATGCAAGGCTGATGGTTACCGAGCTACAGGCTGCTACAACCTTAAATGCGAAGGTTGCGTACCTCGGGCTAAGCCTTCCAAACTTCCGGGATTTAAGATTTATCCAGTTTCGGAATATAATGGAGTCCAAAGAGTTGTCAAAGTTAAAATCTACAAGGTGATACGATTATCCTTTTTGACTTCTTCCAACTGATCCTAAATATCTTCATTGTTCTCTTAAGATATAGGATATAAAAGTTTCTATTATTGTTATGAAGAATGATATTTTGTTATTCAGCTTTAATCTTCTGGGTTTAAATATGCTTTATGATTTATGGTGACAGGATGAGAAAACTGAAAATTGGTGGCTGCACGTGGACGATTCACCAATAGGCTACTGGCCGAAAACTTTATTCAAAAGTCTATCTGAAAGCGCCCAAGAAATCAATTGGGGTGGAAGCGTCAACTACGGCGATGACGAGGAAGGTCCTCCGATGGGTAGCGGTCACTTTCCTGAAGAAGGCGAGAGTAGGGCAGCAGCGATCCAGAGCATCCGGTTCGTGAACAAACTCGGGGAGCTCTATAACTTGACGAAAGACGAAGTTCGTTCTTATGTCGACAGAAGCGATTGCTATAGGGTGGGGGAGTTTTTTGCCGAAGAGAAAGGATTCAAGTTTTATTTTGGTGGCCTTGGTGGAATTCTAGGTAGTTGCGCGCACTAGCGAACTTAATCGCAATAAAATTTCTCCATTGTAGCGGGCCGGGTGTCCATTTTTTGAGATCCACAAGAATAAATGCAGCTGACAAGCAAATGATATTAATTGATTTTATTGGAACGAATATATACGTAATTGGTTTCTATAGCACTAGGTTCATGTTATCTTATTTTCCGTGAGATATAATCGTTCACATATTATTTGCAATGCTAGTTTATTTTATTAGCAAAAGAATGAACAGAATTTTATTTCAACTTTTATTAACAAGACTAGCTTGTATTATAATATTCTAGGCAATATGCTAATAAATGTATACCTAAAAGCAAAACCTTTAATTTCTCCTTAAACTCTCCGAGAACTTATCACATCCGCTCTTTTCTGCTTAAACTTTATGGCTGGATGAAAAATATTCATCCGGCCGTCCGCAAAAATCTAAATCATTTTAAGGACGACGCGTGGAAAACCTCATCAATTTAAAAAATTGCATAAATATTCCAAATAATTAATTTTAACTGATGAATAACAAATTTCGATTTCTTACTATAAAAAAGCGTTTTAATAATGATAGATGTCGGATTGTTTAAAAAAAAAATTCTATTTACTTTTCTGAAATTATATAGCATATTAAAATTTTTCGTATTTACTATAACAAACACTTAAAATATTAATTATATATAATAAAATCATTTACAAAATTTTATTTTCCAAATTATATATAACTATTTTACGAATAATCTGGAAAGGAAACTGATTAGTTAAGTTATTAATTAGATTTTAATAAGTATGCTCTTTTTAAAGAGTTCGTTAATTACCATATTAGTTAAGATTTGATCATGATTACTAAAAAAACAAATAATAAAAACCCAAAAAAATCATTACAGTCATGATAAAAGAGAGCGAAAATATGAGAGAGACAAAACACCGTTAACTTGAATTACACATAATCCCTCAGAACCAACACGTCACGTAACAGTACGTGACTAGAAACGATGAAACTATCCCTATGTTGTCAAGTAATTATTGTAAATAATAAAAGAGATAAAAATGACGATTTTGAACAGGACCATATTTCTCGTGAAAATGTCGAAGGACCTGTCATGTAAAAAAAAAGGTTTCTACTCATCATTCTTAAATCGATCAGCACCATCTTAAACTAACTTGGCTTCTCCCTATTGGGTTAACAATTAATTGATAACTAATTAAATAATAATAGTATTCTAGTTCCTCTCTGTAAGATAAGAACCTTAAGAGATCGATGCATTTTGATCTTCACAAGTAATAGAGATTAAATAGATTTTCGTAAAAAGAAATTTATGTGTCAATGTCACTGTTTAATTTATTTTTACTAATATTTATTTTCGTACAATGAATTTTGTTAATTTTAATTATAATCATCTATATTTTACTTTAAATATTTACTCATCTTGCAGAGATATCATTAGTGTCTGTATCAATGCGTGTGGTCCTGAAATACCATTTATGAGATGTAGGAAATTTTAGTGGGACAATATATACAATAAGAGAACTTACAGGCTTTGGAATCGTAGGACTTCTATTTCAAGAAAAGGGAAGGAGATGAATTCTACGAAACTTATTAGATGAACTTACAGGCTCCGGTGGTCCCAAACTAGGGGTGTCAAACCGTATCCGTATCCTAGGAAATATCCGTAACCGTATCCGTTAGGATACGAATATGGTTACTCAAATCTATAACCGATAGGATATGGTTACGGATATGGTTTTGTAGTGAAATATCCGTATCCGTATCCGTATCCGAAAATATCCGAATACATATTGGTCATACTCTTTCGATAGTTTCGATTCTTAGATTATGGATTTGTGGTTAATTTTGATGATTAAGATGTCTAATCTTAGCTTTTTAATCATAATGAACATATTAACGAACTCTTCTTGTATCACATAACTATATTTTTCTGAATACTATCTAGTTTTCTCATATCCTTTTTGTATCCGCATGTATATCCGTTTATATATCCGCATCTATATCCGTAACCGTATCCGATTTTGACGGATATGGATATGAATTTTTCTTACCGACGTATATCTGTATCCGTATCCGAGATGGGTAAGCGAATATGGATATGGTAAGTATCATATCCGAGCCGTATCCGCTCCGTTAACACCCCTATCCCAAACGCATTTTCTGTTGAGCACAGCTCATTAGGTCGATGTAATCAATGAAGATCATAATGGAAGTTGTTACAAAAGCCCAAATAGTAACAATGTCGACATGTTTACCGTGTTTTGCGTTTCTACTTCGGGCGCAAGTTTCTTGGACTAGTGAAGTATACCCCTCGGCTTTCTCTCCAATTTAGTATACATACGTGATAATGAACCGTCATACTATATTTTTAGAGACTGCTATTTAGAGACGTACGCGTTGATAACCTCCCCCCCTCTTTTCCAAAAGTTCCAAAAATACTGGTCTGCATGTTCACACATAATGTTCAAATTAAGACAGCCCTTCAGCTCTAAGTCTAGCCGTTCCTATATATACCCCCTTCCTCCTCCAACTTCTTCCTTCAACATCGTTAAACAATTAAGCTCGTAGACCACTTGACGACGTCCCCTCCCTCTCCCCGGATCGACCACCGCGCCGAGAGGCTGTACGAGAAGTTCAGCTCGTTAAGCAAGCTCCTCCTGTTCTCTTCGATCTCTTTGACAACTTCGTTGGCCGTGCTGGATCGAACCTGCTGGTGAGTTCTACCTCTACATCCTTCAATTTTCGCTGTACGTATTAATATGCCATTAGAAACCCTAAAGTAGACGAGATGAACAGGAAAACATACTTCTGTTGTTTGATTAGAATGAAAAAGAAAAAGGAAAAGAAAAATGAGACAACCTATATAAAAGCAAATTGAGCTTGAAATTTTTATTTAGAGGGGAAATTAGTTCTTTCAGGGAAAAAGTCGAAGACGGTGATCATACATGCACGTATGAATTCATCAGATAAAGTACGGATTGATTTCACACCTCGCGATAAAAACATTAAAAAATATAGTTTAGCATTTTAGTCTTATTTCTCGCATAAAAACTTAAATAAAAAATTAGTTTAACACATAAAGTTGTTAATTAAGGGGGTTTTATGATAAAACCGTAAATGTAAAGGGGTTTTCTGATAACTCCTAAATTTAAGGAGAATTTTTTTTATTTTTAAAAAGTAAGGGGTGTTTTCTGATAATCATCCAAAGTTATTTTTTTTTATCTTTTTCTTTTTTCCGTTTTGGGTTGGGATGGTGGGGATGGATCTCTCTCTCTCTCTTCCCCCCCCCCCCCCCCCTTTTTTTTTTTCTCTTTGGAGTAGCCAGAAAAAAGACTACAAAAATTTTCTCCGAAAATGAGGTATGTTTGATCTGCAGGATATATATTTAAGTGCTCGTTAGCCATGCTTCTATTCATAACATGATCTGGTACCAATATGATTATTACATGATCTAATCTATGTACTTAAAGAACGCCCCTTCGAAACTTTTTGTTCTTTTCTCAACCATTTAATTCATTACTACTATTAGAATTCCTCACCAACTTAGATTATTCTAGAACAACTTTTTAGAACTTCTTTCTAGTAACATCCTACAAAATATCTACCATGAAGTTTCTAGGAAGATACAAGTGTATGGCTAGTATTTATTCTTCTAGAAACTTCTTAGTAATGTATGGCTAGGATTAACTCTTCTACACACTTCCTAGCCCTCTTAGGTGTTCTTGTAAGAACAAGTGTTGTATTCTCAAGTGTTCTATCAATAAAAGTTTCCTTTGTGTAGAGTGTTGTGTTCTTCAAATTCCATCAAAGTGGTATCAGAGCAAAGTTCGATCTAGCCGGGCCAATCGAAGGTGCTCGTGTACGAGATGGCGAACATGATCCAGCCACAGATTCCGAAGCTGATGAAGACCAATTACGACAACTGGAGTATCCAGATGAAAGTCTTGCTCGGCTCGCAAGACTTGTGGGATCTCGTAGAGAATGGCTACACTGAACCGGAGTCACCTGCAGCAGAAGCAACTCTCACCGCCACTCAGAAGAGTGAGTTGAAGGAGGTCAGAAAAAGAGACAAAAAAGCTTTGTTCCTAATATTCCAAGGCGTAGATGAATCTGCGTTTGAGAAGATTTCCAATGCCCTGTCCTCTAAAGAAGCATGGGAGATTTTACAAAAATCCTATCAAGGTGCGGAAAGAGCCAAAAAGGTACGCCTCCAAGCATTAAGAGTTGAATTTGAAAATTTGAAGATGAAAGCTACAGAATCAATATCGGATTATTTTAGTAGAGTTCAGACAATAACAAATCAAATGAAGAGAAATGGAGAAGCAATTAATGATGTAAGAATTATGGAGAAGATACTTAGGACTTTAGACTCTAAATTCAAATATATTATTCCGGCAATACAAGAGTCTAAAGATCTTTCCGAAGTATCTATTGATGAGCTGCAAGGTTCTCTGCAAGCTTATGAACAAGATATAAACATTAGTTCAAATCAAGCGGAGAATCTAGAACAAGCCTTGCAGAGTAAGATGACTATCAAAGAAGATAGTCGAAGAGGACGTGGAGGCTACAGAGGCAGAGGCTCATTTCGAGGTGGCTCAAACTTCCAGCAAGGTCGTAGGAGACAGTACCAAGGAGGCCATGAAAATCAAGATCGAAATAGAGATCGTGAACGATCATTCGATCGAGGACGAGGTCGTGGCACACGAGGACGAGGACAAGGAAGAAGTTACCATGAGGACAGATCTCAACCACAGTGTTACAAATGTAAGAGATACGGTCATCTCAGCTACGAATGTTGGGAGAAATCAAATCAAGTGGCAGAAATAAGTAACTTTGTAGAAAGGGAGAAGGCAGACACTTCAACAGTCCTGCTGACATACCAGGAGAGCGAAAGCAAGAATAAAGATATCTGGTATCTAGATTCAGGTGCCAGTAACCACATGTGCGGCATCAAGGAGTTCTTTACCGAGCTGAACGAGATGGTACAAGGAGATGTCTCACCTTTGGAGATCAGTCAAAGATTCCAGTGAAAGGCAAGGGCAATATAATGATCCAGACAAAGACGGGCGAGAACAGGTACATCTCTGATGTCTACTATGTTCCAGCATTACGAAATAATATTTTGAGCCTAGGCCAGCTCCTTGAAAGAGGCTATGATATACATCTAAAAGACCTTGCCCTCACTATTAAAAATAAAAATGAAGTTATTGCAAAGGTGAACATGTCTAGAAATAGACTGTTTACCTTAAATATTCATGCTGACCCTGTCAAGTGCTTGAAGTCAATCATAAAAGACGAGACTTGGCTCTGGCATCTACGATTCGGGCATCTCGCTTTCAGTGGCCTGAATCTTCTATGGAAGGAGAAAATGGGAAAAGGATTGCCGCAAATCAACCATCCGAACCAGCTATGTGAAGGCTGTATGAAGGGCAAACAACATAGAAGAAGTTTCGAAGTTGGAAAGTCAAGAAGAGCAACAGAGTTGCTACAATTGGTCCACACAGATATTGCAGGACCATTTGAAGTCATCTCTCTTGGAGGAAACAGGTATTTTCTCACATTTATTGATGATTATAGCAGAAAAACTTGGGTTTATTTCCTGAAGGAGAAATCCGAAGCTCTGGAGAAATTCAAAGAATTCAAGGAGATGGTAGAAAAGCAAAGTGGGTACCACATCAAAGTGCTCCGATCAGATCGAGGTGGAGAATACACTTCGAAGGCATTCAACAATTTCAACAAGCAGTACGGGATAATTCATCAACTCACTGCCGCCTACACACCACAGCAGAATGGCATAGCAGAGCGGAAGAATCGTACCATTCTTGATATGGTCAGAAGCATGTTGAAGAGCAAGTACCTGCCAAAGACTTACTGGGCTGAAGCCGTGGACTGTGCAGTTTACCTCCTCAACAGATGTCCGACAAAGAGCGTCAAGTTCAAGACACCATTGGAGATGTGGAGCAACATCAAGCCAAGTGTCAACCACCTGAAGGTGTTTGGGTGTATTGCATATGCACACATCCCGGAGCAGAAAAGAAAGAAGTTGGACGATCGAGGAGAAAAGTGCATATTCGTTGGGTACGAGAGGAGGACAAAAGCATACAAGCTCTACAATCCAGTTACAAAGAAGATGATCATTTCAAGAGACGTGGAGTTCGATGAAGAAGATTATTGGAAATGGACCGATGAAGATAAAAATATTAAAGGTATGTTCTTTGAAGATAATGATGATGACTTGCAGGAGGTTGGAAGACCAGAACAAAGTCCACCTAATAGTCCAGCTCCATCAACCCCAACATCAACGCCGACATCATCCAGCTCAAGTGAAGGAAGCTCTTCAGGGGGAGCAACAAGGAGGATGAGAAGCCTAAGAGATCTGTACGACGATACAGAGCCTGTCGAGATGATGGATGACTACACACTATTCTGCTTGTTTGCAGAATGTGATCCGGTCAGCTATGAAGAAGCTGCTCAAGAAGATAAGTGGAGAAAAGCCATGGATGACGAGATCGAGGCAATCAAGAGAAATGACACATGGGAGCTCACTACCTTACCTGAAGGCCATAAACCAATCGGAGTAAAGTGGGTGTACAAGACAAAGACAAATCAAGATGGCGGAATCGAGAAGTACAAGGCCAGGCTTGTTGCAAAAGGCTATAGTCAGCGAGAAGGAGTTGACTATGAAGAAGTGTTCGCACCAGTCGCGAGGATCGACACCATCCGACTCATTATCGCATTGGCAGCACAGAACCGGTGGAAGATCTACCAGATGGACGTGAAGTCTGCATTCCTGAACGGCTACTTAGAAGAAGAAGTCTACATCAAGCAACCACCAGGGTACGAGGTGAAGAATCAAGAAGACAAAGTCTACAAGCTGAAGAAGGCATTGTATGGACTGAAGCAAGCGCCCAGAGCATGGAATGCCAGAATCGATGCATACTTCCAGAAGAACGGATTCCATCGGAGCCCGTATGAGCACTCTCTCTATACCAAGAAGAAGGATGAAGACATCATGATCGTATGTCTCTACGTGGATGACATGATCTTCACCGGCAACAATCCGAAAATGTTCGAGGAGTTCAAAAAGAATATGATCAAGGAGTTCGAGATGACTGACATTGGAGAAATGTCATACTTTCTTGGAGTAGAAGTGTCGCAATCAGAGAAAGGAATCTTCATCTCTCAGAAGAAGTATGCAAAGGATATCCTTCAGAAGTTCAACATGAGCAACTGCAATCCAGTCGCAACTCCTGCAGAAGTCGGAGTGAAGCTGAGGCGAGACACACCAGGAAGCTATATTGATCCAACTCTATACAAGAGTTTAGTCGGGAGCTTGCGCTACCTAACCATCACCAGGCCCGACATAGTGTTCGCGGTAGGACTGGTGAGCAGATATATGGAGGAGCCAAGACAGGAGCATTTCAAAGCAGCCAAGAGAATTCTTAGGTATGTCCGAGGAAGTATTGATCAAGGATTATTTTATACACAGTGTGCAGATTCAAGATTAGTCGGCTACACCGACAGCGATTATGGTGGAGATTTAGATGAAAGAAAGAGCACATCTGGCTACATGTTCAATATCGGATCAGCAACATTCTCATGGTCATCAAAGAAGCAGTCTGTCGTCGCTCTATCAAGTTGCGAAGCAGAATACATAGCAGCATCGACATGTGCGTGTCAAGCAATATGGCTCAGGAGTCTGATGAAGGAATTGCAACACCAACAAGAAGCACCGACAGAGATTCTCATCGACAACAAGTCAGCTATTGCACTTGCCAAAAATCCGGTAGCACATGGACGAAGCAAACACATAGAGACAAGGTATCATTTCATCCGACATCAAGTTAAAAAGAAGACTGTGATGCTGTCATATTGCAAGTCTGAAGACCAAATCGCTGACATCTTCACCAAGCCACTAAAGACAGAGACATTTTTGAAGCTTAAGAAGAAGCTTGGACTTGTGAGAAATGAAAGTTGGTGATGAGGGGGAGTATTAGAATTCCTCACCAACTTAGATTATTCTAGAACAACTTTTTAGAACTTCTTTCTAGTAACATCCTACAAAATATCTACCATGAAGTTTCTAGGAAGATACAAGTGTATGGCTAGTATTTATTCTTCTAGAAACTTCTTAGTAATGTATGGCTAGGATTAACTCTTCTACACACTTCCTAGCCCTCTTAAACAACTATAAATAGGGGTCTTGTGCTCTCATTTGGAAAAGCAAGCAAGCAAGCAAGCAAGAAGTGAGCTTGAGAGCTTGAGTGTGTAGTGTAGCCTTGTGTGAGTGTCCACCAAAATAAAGGAATTGTGTGAAAGTGAGGTGTTCTTGTAAGAACAAGTGTTGTATTCTCAAGTGTTCTATCAATAAAAGTTTCCTTTGTGTAGAGTGTTGTGTTCTTCAAATTCAATCAACTACTTATATAGTTAAGCTTCATCTTAGCACATGCGTTAAGTCATTTATGTTTTATGTAAATATGGTTGTTTTAAGAAATGTAATTATCGTTAACTACTCTTTGTGTTGGTTTGTGGTTGTGGGGTGTTTTGAGTTTGTGATATTAAGCCTATTTTTATTACAGAGAAACTATATATAGGGTATTCTGGTATATATTAGTTGACTGTCAAGTTTTCACTTATGCATTCTTGTCAGTTAAGAGCAAATCCATCTAGTTGTATTTTCTTTTCTTATTTGTTCACGCGATAACTTACAGTTTGCTAACACCTTCTTACAATAATGTAGGCCTCTACGCTATTGACCTCCTCTTCTTCTACGTACACTAGCCTGTCAGCCATGTCTCCGCCACTCATCCCCAACTATTATGGCCCACCAACTCCCACATTCCCTGTACCCCTGTACTACGCGCCCCCGTCTCCTCCCAAACCTCCAAGAGATCATGGTCATTCCGGATCACGGACGCTTGTCCTCCTAGTGGGACTTTTCTCCTTCTTTGCCATAGCCGCTGGTGTAGCAGCACTCTTCCTTTACTGTCGTCGTCGCCGCCGTCGTGAGGACGTCGAGGAGCAGCGGGTGACAGAGCTAATTAGGAGTATCGGAGCGGGTGACAGATTTGGAGCCATCATCCGGCCGTGGTCCTATCCAGCAGGACCGGACTAGCTAGCTAGGCCCGATAGAGGAGGGTCGGATGGAAGCTGATAAATGCATCTGTTTTAGGTTGTTTGGAAGAGTACATGTTTTAGGTTGCTAGGTATACCCGTTGCTTTACAATGATACAGATACTCATTTTTCACTTGTTGGACGATAAATTTTATCTTAATGTATGGTGATATATAATAATGTTTGGTACATGTTAATTATCAAACTTACCATACTTGATGCGCTGTATGCAAGGCTGATGGTTACCGAGCTACAGGCTGCTACAACCTTCAATGCCAAGGTTTCTTACCTAGGGCTAGGCCTTCCAAACCTCCGGGATAAGATTTATCCAGTTTCGGAATATAATTAATGGATTCCAAAGTGGTGTCAAAATATTAAGCAAGTACCTATTTGTGTGCATGTTGACAGCTAGCCGTTTGTTGTGTTGCATATGAAACGCATGAAGGAATTGCATTCTATATTTCTCAATTCTGTGGGCTACCATTTGATTTCATGGTGAAAGTTATGGGCATCTATACGAAAATGCAATGATGTGACAGCCTACCTACGCTACCAATAATATTTTTGCTGTCCATCATTAAACCTGCACTGCCTTTTTTGTTCCGAGGGACGTGCGAACTGCATGTTGTCCTTTTTAGAGGTTACATTATGATTTTGGAGCCATCTGCCTTAATTTGTGAGCTGCTATTCATGGTTACAGCCCTATGCTTTATGTGTAGGCTAGGTTTGTTAGAAAATGGCAAGGAAATGGACAAAATGGCAATATATTATTGATCAAACAAAATAGCAAACATAATGTAACCTCTGAAAATGGTCTCTCGGCTTGGAGTCCTTTTCAAATTTCAGTTCCCATCCTTTTCTTGTGAGCTTTTCCTCTAGGTTCTAACCTATATATATATGGAGGACCCGAAGGGC